AAAGGTTATTGGTTACAAATGGATATATTATATATAAAAAAAGAACCTACAACAGACAATGAATGAGAAAAATTTAAAGCTCAGGTTGTAGTAAAAGGGTACAGGCAAATTGAAGGGATTGATTATAATGAAATTTTTTCTCCTGTTGCAAACATTTTCTATTCGAGTTATGTTAGCCATGATAGCTATGCTTGACCTTAAGTTACAACAACTTGATGTTAAGACAATGTTCTTTCACTAAGAATTGGAGGAAATATATATGGAGTAGCTATAAGGATTCAAGGTGCAAGGAAAAAAGAATCTGGTATGTAACCTTTAAAGGTCTACTTATGGTTTTAAATAATCTTCTAGGCAATGGTATAGGAGGTTTGATTCCTTTATGATGCACATTGACTACATGACGAGCAGTTATGATATTTGTGTTTATTATAAGATGCTTGGTCATGTTTCTTTTATTATTTTGATGTTTTATGTTGATAGCATGTTAATTGCTTCAAATAACATGCATGAGCTAGATTAGCTAAAGTCCACATTATGGAGTGAGTTTGATATGAAGGATCTGAGTGTTACTAAAAAGATTTTTGGCATGGAAATCCGAAGGGACAAAGAAAAAGGCAAGCTATGGGTCTCATAGAAGAAATATGTGGAGAAGGTGCTAGGGAGGTTTAACATGATTAATTCCAAGCCGATCAGTACACCTCTAGCTAACCATTTTAAATTATATGCTAAATTATAGTAGTCTATAGGTGATGAGGTGGAGGAAATGTCCCGAGTTTCAAACGCTAGTGCAGTGGAAACCTTAATGTATGTCATGGTTTGCAGTCGGTCAGATATCTCACATGCAATCAATGTTGTAAGCAAGTACATGGACAATTTGGGAAATGAGCACTGTAATGCAGCTAAATGAATTTTCAGATACTTGAGAGGTATGTTGGATTTCAACATCTTATATCAGAGACAAATTGAGATAGGACAAGTTGTGGGCTATGTAGGTTCTGACTATGTAGGTGCTTTGGACAAGTGAAGGTCTAGTACGAGTTATATTTTCACTCTTGCAAGTGGACCTATTAGTTGGAAAGCTATACTTCAATCGATCTTCGCTTTATCCACAACTGATATGTTAACAAAGTTGGTGACTATACAAAAGTTTAAGTATTGCTTAGAATTGATCAATCTTTCACACTGTTAAAGATTGATAAGGCATCCCAAGGCATGGCGATGGACATCTCAAATTGAGACGTAGGCCTGAAGTTTCAGCTAGAGGTTAGAAGTTTTTCGCCAAGGTGTAGATTTGTTGACGGTGATTCAAATTTTTGTTTGATTGGATAAATTTTTCGACAGAAGGCTTAAGGATTTTGGTGCTAGTTTTCTTGAAAAATAAGGAAAATTTTGGATTGGTTAAAAATGGAGGAAAAACCGTGAGGGCTAAATAAAGTTGCTTTGGCATTCTTTCTAGCTAAGGAACTGAATCTCATTGGTGAAGAAACATGACATTTGGAGGGTTCCTTTTGTGAGTGGTTTGGTGATATCATTACTAAAAGTTTATTAGAGGATGTAAGTAGCAAGAGGTGATCTTGTGCTAGATGCATGGAATGGACGAAAAGTTTGGGATGAAGCTTAGCCATGTGAGTCGGATAGATGAGTTCCATCGCTACTAGAAATGCGAAGGAATTCATCTGCCACCGTCTTGAGATGCTTATAAATTGACATGAGTCTTTCGGCTTCAAATGCATCTGAAAATTGTATTACTTTAATTTTCTTTCTCTTATTTGAGAAGTTTTTTAACTGAGTTTTTGAGAGGGTAATGTTAAGTGGGTTGTACAAGGGATTAAGGGTTTGAGTTTGAGATTTAAATTTGAGTGATGAAACTTGTATTGTTGCACACATATTTTTCTCGTAACAGTAAAAAAAGGGGACCGGTCGCGTCTCGTGGATGTAGGTAAAATAATTTTGTCGAATAACCTAACTCTTAAGTGTTGTGAGTTGAGTTGTGCTTTTATTTTTTTTTTGTTCTGCTAATTTATTTTTTTGTCATTGTACTGATCAAATTCATGCGAGGTTAATTCCCAATAGAATGGTCCCACCATGCACCAAGCTTATAAAGCAAGGGCATATTCGTTTGTCGAATATATGAGTTATTAGGAGGTGGGATAGAGTAAATAGTATATGAGGCTCACCTATTATCTTGTTTGGTTGACATTTTATATGTATTACTATTTTTCGAATTGTAATACCGACTCAATTTGTACAGTAGCCTTTAACCCTCGTACATGACTTTAATGAATACCATCTACCAGATAATATTATTTGATGGTACAAATCCACCAATGATACAAGCAAGCAAAATGACACAAATTCCCTCCTATGTAGAGTTTACATATAAAAAATTTATTTTTAAACTTTTCTTTGTATTATATTTAAGGTCATCGGTTTTTTTTAAAATTTTTTTTAAAACAATTATTTTGAATTTTTTTTCTTATATTATGTTTAAGTGTATGTGTCACAAGTTTTTTTTAAAAATTTTAAAAAAAAAATTTATTTTGAATTTTTTTCTTGTGTTATGTTTAAGCGTACGATGTCACATAATTTTTTTTTTAATTTTTTTTAAAAAAATTATTTTAAATTTTTTCCTTATATTATGTTTAAGCGTACGGTGTTACCATTTTTAAAAAAAAAAATTTTTAATTATTTTGAATTTTTTTTTATATTAGGTTTAAGCGTACAATGTCACTTTTTTTAAAAAATTTTTTTTTTAAAAAATATATTATTTTGAATTTTTTCCATGTATTATGTTTAAGTGTATGGTGTCACAAGTTTTTTTTAAAATTTTAAAAAAAAAAATTATTTTGAATTTTTTCTTTATAGTATGTTTAAAAGTACGGTATCACTGGTTTTTTTTTTTTTTTTTTTTTATAATGTCACCGATTCATAACATCAGATTCTTTATTTTTTATGTAGATTTTTTACATATCTGAAATTTTTTGAGTGTGGATTGTCATACCATGTATTATACCAAACATTGTGCAAAAACATTACACAAACGAAATAATGAAGTGAATGATGTTAAGAGTAAAATTGTATATTTGTTATACAAAATGTGATAGAATACATGGTTATTTATGAGACTTATTATAATACCTATTGAATAAACAAACATGAGAGAGGATTAAAATACTTTTTATTACTACTACTAATTTTTATTGATATTAGAAATGTAAGGAATACATTTTTTAATACCATGCATAGTAATACTCAAAACAAACATCTCCAAGTATACTATATGATAGGTTTGCCAGATAAGAGAGGAGGAAAGGGTGGATTGAAAAGAGTCGGCCTGGCGGTGCCTGGCTAACTATATGAGCTTAACTAGACGAGAGAGACTCCATTTATTTGGTCCCCTGGTATGTTTACTTGCAGATGGAACGCATACCCCACCCAACCAGGCCCTTCATGCTGTCTAGTCCAAGCACCGATCGAGTAGGGGACCAATTTAGAGAATTTTTGGCATGGTATATGTTCACATGCAATTGCGAGTTATTTGCATATCCTTTTGACGTGGATGTGTTTGCATCATTGGATGCACAAATATTCGTATAAGTTGTACATATCATGATCCATGAAGCTTGCAAAAAAGTATATGCAAGTATGGACATGAATATCAGCATCAACGTCAGGGTCTAATTACTAAAATTGCTTGGAAATATTTATTTATTTTTGTTTTACCGTCTTCTCAACGTGAAGAATCCAGATGAAGCAACAATAAGATCGCTTCGCATCAACCATGTGTGGCCATGTAAGCAGAACTGCTACACTACTTAAGGCAATCATCACCATCCAGTTTCAAGTTCACATTAAACTCTGTAGCCTAAAACATGAAGGCAAATATGAAAGATTTAGGAGGACAACAGCTCTGTGAGTTGGCGTCACGGACTCACAGCCTCCAGTTATTAGCTGCGTATACTAGAATTCTCTGTACCTTGATGTTAAGACCATTGACCCCTGTGCAGGTGACCTTGATGGCTAGGTCATCCAATGCAGAGGCTATTGAGCCCGGCCAGTTGGTATTATTCAAATAAAGGTTATGACATGCCTTTCTACCTAGTTGGGGTAAAAGCTGTCATTTCAATTCAACAATAGGACTGCTAATCGGACATGAGGCACAGAAATGATTCTTGTTACTGTTTTGAAATATGATCAGACTTGATGGTGGCTTGACTTCATTTCCTTATATCACGGTATCCCTACAGTAAAGTGTATTAAAAGCTCCATTCATCAATGAACTAATTTGATCTCTTCGATAACATTCGATCCAACAAATTACTGCTTGTAAACAAGAATGTAATTTCTTAATGTTTACTTTAGAAAAAGTATTTACTGAGATGTAGCAGTTCAATATTAATGGCTCCTCACAGGAGGGCCTATTTACTATGAGAATCTCTTGTGGTGGAAATGTTGAGATTGATTTTGAAAGTTGAACGCGGAGGGCATGTGGTGGAGTAGAGCGTAGCCCCTTCGAAAGAAAGGGTTGTCAGTGTAAAGGCGGAGCACATGAAAGTTTTCATGAATTGAACATGTGCAGAGCAATAATGATAATAAAATGAAATTTTCTAGTTTGAGCAATTGATTAGGGACCAATTTAGCAATTATGATAGGGCAAAACCCATCCACACCTGAGCAGAGGAATGATTAATTGGAGATGGGTAGAGTTCATTATGCATTACACTCATCGTACTCATCCTAAGAAAACAAAAAGTAAACCGTTTTAAGCCGGGTGATAGGGCCATCATTGAGGCATCACAAGCAGGAAAGTCATTCAACAGCAGGCCCTATTCCAATTTGCTTTGTGCCATATTTTCCTCCTTTTGTGGACCCCATCGTTTCCATGACATGCCGTATTTTTCTCCTTTTGTGGACCCCATCCTTTCCATGACATGCCTTCTCCCTATTTATCTTCATGTGTTCTCTATCTCCTCCCTAAAACATCAAAGACACACAAGGGAGAGTTTGGAAAGAGAGTGACAGGGAGAGAAGTTTGTGATGGGCAATTACAGGTTCAGGTTATCAGACATGTTACCAAATACCTGGTTTTACAAGCTCAAGGACTTGAGTAGAACCAGAAACAAAAACATCACCCAGCCCACAAAGAAAAAGCATCAACCCACATCATCATCCTCATCATCAGCTGCAGCACCAGGAACAGAGCAACCCCACCTCTCTCAACAAAGGAAATCCTACTACTTTACAAGAGAGCTCACTCCGCCGCCAAGCCCCAAGGCCAAGGCCTCAGACACCCATTTTCCAGACCCACCAAGAAAATCATCCAAGAACAGACGTAGCACCAAGAGAAACCGACCATTCAACAGGTCATCTCCTAGGCTCGTCACCTCCTCCGTCTCAGCTGGTTGCAGCTGTCGTGCCACCCTCGAGTCTATTTGGAATAAGCCGGATTCACCACCCGATCAGTACTCGAATTCTCCTCTTGATAGTTCCTCTGAACATGAATCACTCCTACCTGAGTTTGGCTCCAGCCGTGGTCTAACCCCTGAAACATTCGATGGTCTGATTTCATGGTCTGCATCTTGTCACTGCGGACTTGATAACGATATCATCATTGATATTGAGAAGACGCCATTTAGGGCACAGTTAGATGAGGTTGATGGGTTTGATAATGTTTCTGAACTTAACCTTCCTCCAATCATAACCAAGCCGGCAAACTTCACCGACATGATAAAGGAAATGCAGAAGAAAGAGATGAATGAACCAACCAAGTATAGGAGGAGCTCATCTAAATTTGAGGAAAGAAACGCACATGGGTGTTTATCTGTCAAGTTTATCAAGGAGGACATTATTAGTTCTTGTTCCAAAGAACAGAGGAATAGTGGTGTTAGAAGATATTCTGTGAATTCACCAGGAGTGAAGCTCAGGACCTATTATCCGCGAATTGCAAGCAGAAGAAGCATTCAAGGCCGAAAAAGTGTATCTTCGAGCTCAAGTTCAGGGAGGAGTTTATCAGATAGTTTAGCTATCATGAAGTCGTCTCAGGATCCGCAGAGAGATTTCAGAGAGTCAATGGTGGAGATGATTATGGAAAACAAAATCAGAGCGTCAAAGGATTTAGAAGACCTTCTGGCATGCTACCTTTCGTTAAATTCCGATGAATATCATGAACTTATCATCGGGGTCTTCAAGCAAATCTGGTTTGATATTAGTGACATTCGGTTGGAGTAATTTCATGACTGTAAATGGCTTTTTCTAGTATATTATTTAGTGCTCTAGTGTCTTATAGTTGAGTAAGGTAAGAATATTAAGATTTAGCCAATTTGTAAGACCAAATTTCAGATTTTCTATGCAATTATTCTGAAGATACAATGACTTGATATAGCAAAAACGACGTCAGGTTGTATTATATATGTGGCCTACTATAGATTGTTAACAGTCTAAACAAATAATGTTATTTAAACTTGATTTGTTAATTCTATCCATTGCTACCAACTATTGCATTATAATCTAACTCATCTAATATGAAGGTCTAGTATTGATCTAACAGCAACACCATATTAGTTTTAAAAATTAGATCCTGGTAGTAGTAGTACTTCTGGGTGGACATACACTAAAGGGACCATCACAGGTACATCTCCGACGCTGACAATTTCTCCTGTCAAACTTCGGCTTCCACTGTAGAGGAAGATACCCTAAGGACAAGTTCCTGTTTTTAATCTTTCTTCATAGTTCTGTAGGTTTTGTCTGGGCACCATCTTCAGTGTTAACTTAAGTGCTCTTTCACTCCCGTCTGAAGCAATCGAAAGAGAAAACTATACCAAAGCCGCAGTAGAATAAGTGATGGAAACATGTATCCGGTAATTGACTACGGTATCGAATAAAAAAAATTTCTTATTCGGTATTATATTTTCAAAATTTATTATTTTTGTGTGTTTTTTTTTAATTTTTGTCAGTATTTTTAAAACAAAAAATTTTATCACTTTTGTAAATTTTTTTACTGCTTGTGAGAACTATTTTTATTACTTTTATAGTTGATTTATCATTGTTGTTGTACCTATTTTTATTATTATTTTTTTAATATCATAATAATGATAAAAATACCTATAAATGTGATATATTTTAGTACAATACTTATTTGTTTTCGATACTTTAGACAACTTCATGAATCCGAAAGTAAAGTAATTGGCAAGGTGTGGTTGCTCTCTTAAGGTGATTCACACTTTTTTATAAAAGAAGTGCGGTGTAGTAGGTAATACCATGTTGTCTCTAGATACAACAATTTAACTTAATTGATTGTAACTTTACTCCGGTCTGCATAATGATTTGTACAATCAAATGAAACAAAAGCTTCATGTGCCACTTTTTTATTTTGTCCAAAGATCTTATGCAATGATTCAAAAAAAAAGAATAAAAAATGTGTTCCTTTCTGGCCTGAAATATCTAAATATATGTTATAAAGATAACTGATAATATGTTATATTTAGTTTTAAAATAAATTAAATAATGACTCTCCTCACTTCTTCGCACGTGAGAATCTCAAGATCTCACTTAACTCGATGATTAAGTAACACTAATATAAAATATAAACTCAATTAATCTATTAGTAATTCCACCTATAAGAGTAAGAGTACTCTTTTTTATTAAAATACTCTAAAAATAAGTTCAAAAGAAAAATACACAGTAAAAAAATGCTCAACATTCAAATTAAACCAAACATTTGTCAATTATATACCACAATTTTCAAATGTATGCATAAGGCATGGTGTCAAATTGCAAAAAACAACGAGGGGCCTAAAGAAGCTTTGAAAATTTGTCATCTTAGTGACATCTAGTGGTTAATTATAAAAGTAAAAGTTGCCTCGAAGATTACAAAAGTAGTATGTGTTTTTCTAAGTGTAAAACATATTTAAATTACAGTTTAAGAAGAAGGCAGTTCCATCTATTAGATTTTTATTATTACAAGATTTAAGATGTTTAGATATTTATATTGTCAAATAAAGATTATGTTTATGTATGCGGGAGGGAAAGGATCCCAATCGACCACCCCAACAATTAATACATAGATCTTGAAGGATCAAGATATATACAAACTTTTACACGAGCTGGGTACTTAAACTAATTATAGGACTGCTTTCGACAATATACTAAAAGTGATTCTTAACCGTTGATCTTGATTTGGGTTATCCCAATGGAGGCAAGCTGAGAGAGGGAGAGAGCAGTTAGGTCGGAGTATTGTCCAACGTGAATGATTAGTATGTCCAATGGTCAAAAACATTGAGGCTCTTAGACCTAACTTTAATATTAACCTGTCCAATTCAAGTGAAAACATTATACATGCAGAAGTTCTTGTATGTCAAGTATGTAAAGAAACTGCCTCACGGGCCACAGCTGGCTTTTGTACTATGATAATGCCAGTTGAAGTGTACACAACATGGATTATGCTACTTTTGTTTTATGTACATTGCATAGGAAGATAAATATTTATAATGAAGAATCAATTATAAATTATTACAATTTTTGCATAAATATATCTATAACCAAAAAAAAAAAGAATCCATCCTATTAATTGGCAGAAGCTTAAGAAAATTAACGGTGACTAAGTAGATTAACCCAGTTAATAACAAAAGATCAAGAGGCATATACTTCCACTTACAGCCTATATATATATATACGTACACACACACGCTCTTTATATACACACTCTAACTTTACACATATTCTAATACATGTATAATGTCATAGTTTAGTAAACAATGACTTCAATCACAGAGTATCATTAGTGTATATATATGCCATCATCTTTGTGGGTAATATCCCATGCATTTAGGCCAGTATTTAATTAAGACATTCAAATCCCTTCATGGCTACGTCCAAATGACCCCTTGATAGCATGCCCCTTGCAAATAGCATACTGGGTATTGAAGTCAAATTGAATGTCATGAAACCGGCCAAAACAACACTAGCCCCTTTAATTATCCTTAGCTAGGTAAAAGAAATGGTAGACCATAGGCATGATTCCCACCACTTATTGGATTGATTTTTTTTTATTATTATCTTAGGAAACTTTTCCATCACCTGTTACATTGAAAGGTAATTAGAGTGGACCTTTTTGGAAAGTTTAGGGCAACTACTGGTACTAGTTATTGGACTTTTTAATAAATTAATCAGGAAACAAGTACAATTGAATTAATTATGCAACCATGAACTTTTGGTGGATATTTGTGAGATTCCCCGCAATGCAAGGCACTTTTAGTGTGATTTAATTTGGCTTATATGAGATAGAAATCTTAGATGTTTTGTCATTAGATTTGAGGTACGGTGGGGTCTTGAATTTGACATTTCACCAAAATAAATCAGTTTCCTTGCAATCAAGAACACCAAAACTTAACATTTCTGTAACACTAATAATTTTCCCAACGGCCATAAATGATCGATCACTAACCAAGTGAAGAATCAATAACCACATGAGTATGATTGTGCGTATTGATTTTGTAAATCAACGTGGTGCAAATTTACGGTGATGAGCAGATGAGATGATCAGTATCTGATTTTTAGGATCTGAGTTACGAGGCTCGAAAGAGCAAGTACTGGTATCGATGGAAAATTGGGAGATTGACACAATGAAATTATAGTGGTTCATCAGCTCGCGAGCTCGGCTAATCCACTCTTTAATGGAGATTCTTACTCTTTTTTCTTTTCTAATAATTTAGAAAGTTTACAGGATAGAAAATATGTTACTAGGGTTCTCCCCCCCTCCCCTTTAGGGGGCGTTACATAGTATTTATAGAGTTGTTCCTAGTTCTGCGGAATCTGCACTGAGATCCCTGCCATTTTTTCGAGAAATTCTCCTTGATCTTAGGAGGGGATCTTAACTAGTTACTGATTTTGCGCCTTGAACATGGTTCTTTGCCACCCACAAAATTTTTGTTGTCATCCAGTTGTACCCTTATTATTTTCGCTATTGATGCGATAGGGGGGGAGCTCTAACTCTTATCCTCTTAGCTCTGCGAGTCTTTCCTGACCTCTTGGTCTGACCTGCTTATTTGACCTCATGCTTGGAAATTATTCTTAGTACCATCAGTTGCCCCCCAACCCTTAACCTAAGTGAACTTGGGTAGGGGTTGAGTTGAGGCTTAATCAAAACAGACCTCTAGACGCGAACCTCAATTTTTGCACGAACAGATTTTAGGCAATCATTTCACTTTCTAATTTCTCGTGCACATTCTCCACTTTGTACCGTTGGCCTTAAATGCCTCCGAATTGAGGGGGAGCGGTTTATTCCATTCTTTGAACTCCCTCTCTACATTTTTCCCTCTCTTCTTCTTGTAACTTTCAAACTTTCGATTCTGCTGGTGCCACTAGTGTTTCGCTGTGAAAATGACTTTCCCTGATTAAATCCAAGGTTTTGATGAGACTTATTTTTTGCCCTTGATTTTGGCTTTGGCCTATTGTTCCTCCTCTCCTAGGTACGCTTCTTGCCCTTTATTTGTCTATTTGTTCTGGATCCCTCAGATTTGAGGTGGCTCCTGTATTTTTGGACCTTTTGATTTTGTTATTTTAGAAACCGAGGTCGATCTCTGTCTCGTATTCCCCTTTTCTTGGACCTTTATTTGACTGGTAGAGTTTTCCTTATTGGGAGTTATTGTGTTGCTCCCCAAACTCTTAGGGAGTGTTTCGCAAATATTCCTCCTCTTTATCGCACATTTAGGCTCTATTTTTCTTGTCTCACCATGTCTGCCTCTTCCAAAGCTACCCCTTCCTCTGTTTCCCTCCTGGGAGATAAGACTGCTGAGGATAACTCCGATTTAGGTGAGGAAATCGATAAATTCTCTGATGTTGATTCTGCTGAAGCTGAGGAAAACACTGAGGGAACTCCCTCATCTGCCTCCCCTATGCCCAAAAGTTCTAGTAAGGGTAAGACTAATGTGAGTGGAGTTGGCCTCTCAGGCAGTACCGAGGGCACAGGGGCTGCCTTTAGAGCTGCAGAACTCGTTAGCCCCAGTGAGATTTACCTATCTCTTATGAAGGTCCTCAATACTTGCTTTGGCATTCCCCCCAGAGCTCAGTTCTAGTGCCCAAATAAATTCACCCTATATGTCTCCCAAGTCCATAAAAAAGTTTGCTTCTTTATTGCTGCCTTTGAGAATGGTCTGTGCTTTCTCTTACACCCTTTTATCAAGAGTGTTCTATAATATTTCAACGTCTGTCCTGCTCAGCTGTCTCCTAACTTCAAGGGTGTCTTGGACTTTGGGGGGAGGGGAAAATGCAACACGCTTACGGTGAATGGTGACTCGATTTGTTGCACCAGGACATCCATTGTAACTGGAGCCTTACTCTTCACAGCTTTTTTTATATGGCTGAGCTCTTGCTGGATGCCATTAAAGCATTGCTCCCAGTACTGTTCTCTCCTCTCCTATTGATAATGGAGAAAATCATTCATTTCACCCCCAATGTTTTGACTTTGCACCTCTTTATTGCGTCCGTTCCTTAGGGGTGGATGAGGATCCTGTCCCCAGGTCTGACTGTTTTTTCCTCCTTCATCAACTTCCCTGAGGGGATAGAAGTGTTGCTGCTCTCTATGAGGGGGTTATTCTGGCCTTCTTGGGTCGGTCGTGCCTCCTGAGGGCATTGCAAGAGCTTCAGGAGCTCTTCATTCTGCTGTATTAGGCGTTGATTAACCAAGCGAATAGCCTCCAACTCATTATTTGTATGGGAATTCCCCATGGGGTGATTTGTCTCTGGGACGTTCTCAGGCTGCTTGTCATTGGCGGCTTCCTATTGTTCTTGCATTCATGGTAGATTGGTTTGGCTTCTGCTCATGTTACGAGTTGAGACCAATATTACGAGTTGAGACCATCAGTTACTGAAAAATTAGCGTATTTGTAACAGGAACAATCATTTCTCACAGAAGACGCCAAACTGATGGTGTAAATCAACGTGATACAGATTTATGGTGATGAGCAGATGGGATGATCAGTATTTGGCTCTTAGGATCTGAGCTACGAGGCTCGAAAAAGCGAGGACTGGTATCGATGAAAAATTGGGGGATTGACACAATGGAATTATAGTGGTTCACCAGCTCGGGAGTTCGGCTAATTCACTCTTCAATGGAGATTCTTGTTCATTTTCTCTTTTCTAATTATTCAGAAGGTTTACAAGATAGAAAATATGTTACTAGGGTTCTCCCTCCTTTTAGGGGGCGTTACATAGTATTTATAGAACTGTCCTTAGTTTTGCGGAATCTACACCAAGATCTCTGTCATTTTTCCGAGGAACTCTCTTTGATCTTAAGAGAGGATCTTGACTGGTTACTGATTTTGCGCCTTGAACATGGTTCTTTGCTATTCACAAGATTTTCGTTGTCATCCAGTTGTACCCTTATCATTTTCGTTGTTGATGCGACCGAGGGGGGGGAGCTCTAGCTCTTATCCTCTGAGCTTTGCAAGCCTTTCCTGACCTACTTATCTGACCTCATACTTGGAAATTATTCTGAGTACCATCACGTATCATTTGCTCTTTGTATATATGTACTTTACAATCAAGAATTCCAAGACATGCATCAATGTTGCGATCATGGAATGGTCCTCTAGCTCACAACTGAGGTACACATGCTGGGGCCAAACTATTCTCAAAATAAGAGAACCCCCTCATCTAGCAACCAACCGTGACTAGAGTTATGATCTGATCATCTAGGGAGATTTTCTTGTTAATGTTGCCAAGGCTGTGACTTAGATTTAAAGCCAAACACTTGAGCTCGAACGACGTAGCTCGCATTAGTCCATGGGCAGCGCTTGCCCCCACTCGACCCTTTGAATCTGCCTACTGTCTACATTTATGAAGGTAATAAGATTGGAAACGGGGGAATTCAATGACGCGTGATTAAGTTGAGCCTGCAGAAGAATATGATTAGCTCAGTATACTTTTCACATTTCAATCCAAGGCACCAGCTAACACTTCTTTGCCGGCCTAAAATATGCAATATGGGGCCTGATTTTAGCACTTCGCTTAGCTCCTAATTATTGGAAGGTTGACCAAATCTCACACGGAATGACCAAATCTTATTGGAAAATGAAGTCTATGATGATGCTGAAGCTATGAATCCATATTCTGTGTGTGTGTGTGGGGGGGGGGGGGGGGGGGGGGGGGGGGTTGAGGGAGGGGGAGGTCAAAGTGGGGTGGGGCGGGGCTGTGAATGATGAATCGCCTGATGTTTGTTATTCTTTTGTGGTAGCATGATATAATCGCGGGACAAATGATTTCATTTCAAACACATCATTAGAACTTCTTCAAATAACAGTTTTTACATTTCAACGCATTTCTGCATTGTCTTATTAAACCAGAAACCCTTTCAATGTCATAATTATACAATTGCACACCACACCACAAAACTTTTATAATCACAAACTATGAGATTCATGGTTTATGTATATATAAACATTAATGTTATTGGGACATAATTTGGAGAAATAATGCATTATGACCATTAGATTGATATTGTTAGGACCCAATAATAATTTAGTATTAGAATCCACCGACAATTATTAAATCTCCAAATTATGTCCTAATACCATTGCTCATATATAAAATACCTCACCACTCACCGTATTTAGATCCAAATCTTCCAGAAGAACCACCTGGTTCATGGTAACCAATGTTCTCAACGGCACCAACCGTCTTGAATAAGCGCCGCTTGTTTATCTCCTCCACTAAGGTCCGGTGCAACAATTGGCTGCGCACATCCACAAGTGATCTTACCCTTGATATCTTCCCTTGGTAGTTTGAACTGCAAGCTCCTCGAGTATTATGCATTACATTGCCTTGATTGCTGCAATTTTTGGTAATGCTCTCTTCGGGGCAGAACCTTGTGCATTTGTTTGTCTTTGCAATGAAGTGGGGCTCTCCTCTTTTAGAGCCCATGTCAAAGTCAATTTCATTTTCGGTAACGTAATTTATGTTGGAGTACTTGTTGGAACTAAACGAGCATTGGGAACTTGCATCATCATTCATGAGCAAATCTTCTGCATCAAGAAACAAACCACCAAATTTCAGAGATTACCTATCAATTTGGGAAGTTATCACAAAGGAAAAAAGAAAGAAGATGAAAAAAAGGAAGAATTTAGACTCACCTTGTAGCCAATCATGGCCTGAACTCATCATATTTTTTCCCTCAAGAAATTGGTTTTTGCAAGAAGTTAAGAGACCAGAGAGAGAAGATTGGGAGGAAGAGTGGGAGGAAAGAGAGTAGAATGGGTGATGAGTTCTATCGTCATCATCTTGATTGTAGTCGAAGCTGTGCTGGTAATGGCTTTGAGGTGAGTCCCATCCCTTCCAGGTTGGAGCCAAAGCAGAAATCTCGGCATCAATCATCTCGGCAATCTCAAATGGCTCCCAATCAGTGATCTCTAATTCCTTGACCATCTCCATTGCAACGTCAAACGCAGTGTCACTCGCAATGTCAAAAGGAAAGTATATGTTTCTAGCTTTACCTGAATTGGAGATCATAAGTCATAACCAACAATCAGTTCAGGAAGTTAGGATCCAGGGATCATGACTGAAAAATAATTAGCTTGAGTTGAGTGACACTGCAGTTGATGTTGCAATTGGCTATAAGCTTCTGTATGCAAACATTAAAAAAAAACTCAACTATATTTAAGGCAATTACCATCCTTATTAGAGATCTGCACTTTGAGAAAGATCGTATCATCTTCGGGGTTCATTGTCCCCGTGATTGTCATGTCTGTGCTCTTTGCTGGATCACCCAATAGACATGGCACATCCAGCACTTTTCCATTTGGAGTTAGCATATGAATCGGGATATTTGCAGTGAGAACCGATTCAGCTTCATCAGTTGCTAGAAATGGATCCATCAAGAGCTCACGGGCAGATGGCCTTTTCGAAGCCGTCTCCAAGCATTTCCCTATAAACCGCTGGGCTTCGACATCATGAATCCGGTAGTATGCTGCCGGTAGCTTTCCCTGGAGTGTCAGAAGGCAGCATATAAGTCAGATCCAATCTGTGGTTTTTATAGACGAAAATAAAATGCCGAAGCCAGCCCCATGCTTACCGAAGTCACTTTCTTGTATATCTGAGCTGGGTTGGAGCACTCACTATATGGATACTCGGAAGTAAGCATTTCTAACACACACATGCCAAAGGAGTACATGTCCACCAGCTCATCGTAATCCTCTTCATATAATTCCGGTGCCATAAATTCGGGTGTACCTAATGGTTGACAAGAGCATATATAATATCAGAATGATAAGTAGGCAAACAATTAGCATACTCGAACAATCAATCCACTGCTCATGCCAGCATTTGATCTCAAGAACTTTCAGGCCATTGATATTATTTATACAACGGGGAATTATCACAATCATGTGCACCTTGAACTCATAGCTATAACATAAATCTCGAATGCATATACTCAAGGCAAACCACAAGCATCAGTCAGGCCGTAGAGTTGATATACAAAAGAATCTAGGGTTTCTTATAGAGTCAATGTCACCCCATCTTGTCTCATATATCTTGATGAGACATAGGTTTGTATACAAACAGACTTCATGATAGACAATGGGCTGCAGTGACAATCAAAATCATGTTAAAACATTTACTATTCCTACATATGATTTATGGGATGATACAAGGTGTGAGAGATAGATGATTGCCTATGACACTGTGGGCATGTTGTGACCCACGAAGTATGGCTGCTAACCCAAGATCACCAATCTTGACTTGCCCAAGATGTCCATTGACGAAGATGTTATCGCATTTGAGGTCCCGATGTATAACTGGAGGATCATGGCCGTGCAGATAAGCAAGGCCTTGTAGAATTTGGCTACACCAATTCTTGACTGCCCCAATATTCACTCGCTTGTACCTTTGTCTATACCTGTACCATGTCACACTGCATATCACACAACAAGCATACTAACCGGCTAACACAATTGTGCTTTCATGCGAATGAATATAAGTACAAACCTAAAACCTATAGACAATGTTATTTGAACATAATTTCATAGTCAGTTTTTGCGATTGGGTTGACAATAAACTATAACAATATCAGGATTCACCAACATTTCAATGGCAGCAGTGGATTAGCTTACAAATTGCGTTCAAATAGCATTGTTGAGAGTCCATTTAATTTGGAAGAAAGGGCCAATCTTTCTTAGAGTTTTCAGCTCTACAGTAATGTGCTACTTGCACCCAATTGACTGACTAGCACAGTTTGAGTTCTCAATCTACTGCTCCCATAGGATTGATCCTAAGATTGTATGGGAACCGCTGTGAATCACACCAACGAAATTTTGCTTATAAAGTGTTGTGTAATCAATAGATGGCTAGATCATGACAATTGTGAAAAAAAAAATCAGTGTCACCTATGGGAACAGCCGAAATCGAAGGACTAGAGTCTTTCATATATACAATGATACGAATAGTTTTACTTTGGAACATCAAGATATTTCGTCATGTAAAGTTACATGGGGTTGTGAGTAATTACCCTCTAAGGGTGCCAGAGGTAAACATTTCAGTGATGAAGTTGAAAGTTCTGTGTTCAATGTCAATCCAAGAAGCGTAGAATCTCATTATAGAGTCGTGATGGAGGTTCTTGAGGAGGTGGACTTCAGAGTATAGCCGCTGCAACTGTTCTGGTGATCGAAAGATATCATTAAGCTTCACCTGGTTCCATGCTACCTCCATCCCAAGAACCTCATCAAATGCCCTATACACTGTCTTCATCGCTCCTCTGCCAAGAACATCTCTGAACTACAAAAAACAAAACAAAACAAAACAAAAATGTACACAGTATGGCCTATAAGCACATGGAACAATCTCAGTCCTCATTTGAAAGCTAAAAATGTCACATGCTTCTAATTGAAAATACAATCATGTTTCCTCTAATGATATTGCCTTAACAATTAATTGCAATGGTTCCGTACAACATATCCAACATTGTCCAGTCCCCAACTTCACTTACCAAGAGACATGCAAGATAAATCCATTAAAAATTAAGCCACACCATAGGCTCTACATGCACCTTCACATGTGGCAGAAAACTTATTCAAAGTCTTTATTTTTTGGGTGGAATATAGCCGAGGAAATTATAATACAAAGTGTTCCATTACGTCCATGAACAGTGAAGAGGCGATATGCTATATTGATCTTGATTCGTGACACTTTAGAGCAAAATTTTAAGGACGGAAACTATAATTTATCTTTTCCTTAAAAACAAATGAAATGGACAGAATTTCTATTTTCTGACATTTTCTTTTATTTATCCTGCCAAGTTTTCCTTCTATAAGCTAATGTCTAGGATTGGCAAAAACTATATTTATGTCTATGATATGGAACTGTGGACTCTAAACGCCAGTATATGTAGTGACTACACTTATATAGAGGTCAACTTGCCTTGCAATCAATATAAAATTGGTTTGTTGAATAAAAAAGCAACCACCACTTCTAAAATGGTTAATGTAGGAGGTTGAAGCAAGGGAGTATTTTTAGTGCAGCCCCAAGTCAACTCTCCTTTCCGTATTTGGAAGAAGTCAGATCCAATGAAGTAAGGGGCATTTCTCTACTCATATGACTTCTTCTGTGGCGATTCCCAATATCGAATCAGACACTCTTTTCAAGTAAATATTTGGTGAGTTATCATTAAATGGTTAAATGATAATACTGACAAGATATAATCATTACACTTAGTATTTATTCCTCGACTATATGTTTCACTTCACAGGGAAAAAAAAACGGCTTGAGCAGTAAGAAAGCATTGAGGCATGCAGTAAAACTGTTCATTTCAGATAATACGCTCCCCCATTAAACCATTAGAAAACATTAATAATAACTATAGCAGGTCAATCCCCTAATCAAACTTGCACATATAATGTAATTATATGCCTCATGATCATCATTCTACCCAACCCAAGCAACCAAATGATGCATGTTCTTAACCAAAAATAAAGCATGCAGGTATCAGATCCAAAAATCAGAAACTTACGCATCCATATCGACCAGATGGATCCTTTTCTATGTACCCTGACTGCAACTCTCCTCCGTCAATGGGTTCTACCAACCGCGTCTTATACATCGCTGAGCAGTATTCAAGCACCCCTTGAGGTACTCTCTGAACAAGAATATTTCAAGTTTCTAACTATTACTACTATATATGGTGTTATTTATTCGGACTAAATACTTAACTATATGATTGAAGGCGATGAGAGCTGGTGCTAAATGATCCGAGGCTTTCCTTCGTGATTTTCATACGAGAAAACACCGAACAATAGCCAAAAGAGCCTTGAGTAATCGATCCCTAGCATAATCCAAGCCATTCCTACAACCTCGTGCGATAACTCGTAGTCCTGAGAAATCATTTGGTTTCAAATAGAATGGTTTTTGGAGACTGCAGGTTTTTCACAGAAAAGACAGCGAGAGGTGGATATGATAAGAAGAGATAATATCTTTTTTGTCAGCCACTGAGGGAAACTTTGTTGGGATGTTTTTCTGTTGAGAGTGGACTTAAAATTGGAATGTGGAGGTGGTTTGCTTCATGAAAAAAAGTTTAGAAATTGAAATGATCACAAGTTGAAGTGGGGCTTTGGCAAGAAACTGGGCTTCTAAACTTGAAAAATCTGTGGCTACGCTTTGATAGTACCATTTGTGGATATGAAAGAGATCGAAAAACTAGATTTTGGATAAGAACAAAGAGATTCTAAGGCAAGAAGAAAACTTTTGAGAGAAATATTGAGACAGAATGAGAAGCTTTGGCGAGATCTGAGAGGAGACTGTTTAAGTGCAAACAATGGGGTATGATATGAGGAAGAATACTGGAGGTGGTGGGGCTATGTATTGTATACACCAAACTACAAACGGAAGTTGTCCCCCTCTTTGGTCCCCATGTCACAGAGATGACTCATTTTGACGGAATCTAATAGAAATCTCTGTAACGGCGTTAGTTGTCATAAATAAACAAATTTATTGTTAACAGAGGAAAGGAAACAAAAATAGAATGAGGTGGTTTTACTTTTATCTCAGCGTTATCTTTAGTATTTCGTGGCCTAACTAAATATTTGTTTTGATGAAACAGTGATAATAAATTAAAGTATTTGGTGCAAAAGCAGATATACAGACTGCTGGCATGAGAGAAATGGGGGAAGGAAAAAAAAAAAAAAATGAAAACAGGCATAGGCACAGGCGCATTGGATAATTATTCCCTCGAAGGTTGAAAGTTGAATAGAGACGATTGAGCTTGTGACACTGCATACATATAGTGTACATGTTGATTAACCTTAAATACATCAAATTATACCTTTTTTAAACTGCTGTGAGTACCGATAAATTACCCGTAGGTCCAGTAGTACTTCCTGTATGGTTTCTACGTACTGACAATTTCTTTTGTTGTTTGATGTTTAACAGCTGATGGCAATTGTTTGTTTTGGTAACTAGCTTGTGTCATTTTTATTGTCTGTTACAAAAATGAATAAATACATTTATTTTCCCATAAAAAAAAAAATTCAAAATTTGTGGCTTATTCATGATGGGCAATATATATATATATTAAATCAATCAAACATATATAAAATAGATTGTGGGGTCCACATAAGGTAGAGATATTAAATTAAGTATTTTATATGCATTTTAGTCTATCACCTGCAGCTATCATCCATGCAAAACTGGTCACCAAGAAATGGCCGGCTAAAAGTCGTATGCATGAAAGATTACCTTCCACAAAATCAGAAATAATATGTGAAGTTATCGTTTCATGTCCTGGTCAAAAGGGCAAGTTGTTTGTATAATATATATATATATATTACTTATTGCCCCTTCGTGAAAGCACTATGTTACTTATAAAATTTCAACACACAATAATAAGATGTTTGAATAATTTCAACACATTGAGATTAGATTGATTTTGAAAATTTTTTGTTGGTGCAATTGGTATCTTATTTTTTTTGTATTGGTCACCTATTTTTTTTAATTGTTAATTAGCTTAGGCTTTGAATTTTTATTTTTTGAGAATTATAGGTTTTCATACAGTAGTGATTTATTTTTAGTATAAATAATAAATTGATGATTTTATTTATGGATTATAAAGACAATTTAAACTTTATTGATTGATAAGAAATAAAAAATAAATATCAACCATTGATACTAAGATGCATGATTAGAAGATTTACTTACGGTGTACTCTAGATATAAATCAATTTATAGTAAGAATGATGAAAAATTATATATCAAGTATATAATAATTTTTAATGAAATATGATACTAAAGGACTTGAAAAAATCGATATACCAAATAACTTACATGTCCAAAAATGGTGACATTGTCCATTTGGGTATTGATTTTTGTGTTGTAGTGACAGTGTGTATGAGTTTATTAGGGTCAAACGATAATTGGCAAACTTGAAAAAAAGAAACACTAAACTTAGAGATATTATGTATTTTATGTGTATTTAATAGAAATAATTTTAAATTTATGCAAAGTTTTATAGTAAAATTAGAAATTAAACAAAATCAACTTAAATCAAGGTACAAACAACACTTTTAACATATAACATTTAAAAACAATCAATTAATAATAATATATCCACAACTAAACCACACGAACATTAAAAATTAAAAACAACAAAGTATACACTACTAAACCAACACAAAAAAATCATCAATATTCATAAACACACATAAATGTTAAACATTTGCTAACTGCACGGTTATAAAAATTAAACGTAAAATATTTGATAACTACCCAGTTATAAAAATTGAACAAAAAAAATAATCAACATGAAATAATGAGATGATTTGTCATTAACAAAATTTGTAATAGATACTCTTTTAACTAATTATTTATGACAATCAATAATATGTTTTGTTCACTTTCAATCAAAATTAAATTTTTAAGAACTATAAGTTTTCATGTAATTCTGAGTGAAGTGGTAATTAGGTATGAATTATAATTCGAAGGTTTTACTTATGGATTGGATATTTTTATTTTTTGTTTTGTGAAAATGGTGATGATGATTAAATTGGTTTTGAATTTTTTTTTGTGCAATTGGTAATACTTGTTATTTTTATTGGTCACTTATTTTTTTTTTATTGGTGATTAGATTGGGTTTTGTTTTGTTTTTGTTTTTTTTTTTGAGAACTACATGTTTTCATATAGTAGTGATTTATTTTTTGTTTGAATAATAACTTTATGATTTTATTTATGGATTGTATATTTATATTTTTTATTTGCTTGGAAGTGGTGATGGCAATTATATTGGTTTTGAATCTAGTCATTTTATTATATATATATATATAAAGAGAGAGAGAGAGAGAGGAGATAATATAGTGTATTTAAAACGTCTAAGAGATAAGAGAGAGAGTTATATGAAAGATAGGAGTGTTAGAGTTAAGTCCAATTATAATCGTCAGATCAATATTTATGAGATGATCTGAACCGTCTTTTATGTTGGGATTACGTTGTCTATTGGATGTTTATGTTTTATCTCAAAACGATTTGGACCTCTCTTTGTCTGTAGATAGGATGTTTGAATAATTTCAACACACAAAAATAGGATGTTTGAATAATTTTAACACACAGCGATTAGATTGGTTTTGAACTTTTTTTATTAGTGCAATTTTTCACTAATTTTTTTTAATTGCTAATTAACTTGGGTTTTGAATTTTTTTTTAATTGTCTGAGAACTATAGGTTTTCATATAGTAGTGATTTATTTTTAGTATGAATAATAACTTGATGATTTTATTTATAGATTATAAAAATAATTTAAACTTCATAGATTGATTAGAAGTAAGAAGTAAATATTAACCATCGGTACTAAAATGCGTGATAAGAATATCTACTTACAGTGTACTTTAGGTATGAATCAGTTTGTAATAAGAAAGATGAAAAATTATATAGTAAGTATATAATAGTTTTTAATGAAATATTATACCAAAAGTTTTGAAAAAACCGATATACTAAATAACTTACATGTCCAAAAATGGTAACATTATCCATTTGGGTACTGATTTTTGTATTGTAGTGACGGAGTGTATACGACTATTGAGGTTAAATGTTAAACTATCAAACTTTGAAAAAGAAACACTAAACTTAAAGATATTATGTATTTTATGTGTGTTTAATAAAAATATTTTTAATTTTATGCAAAGTTTTATCGTAAATTAGAAATTAAACAAAACTAACCTAAATCAAGGTACAAATAATAAAATTTTAACATATAACATTTAAAAACAATCAGCGATAAACAATAATGAGTATCATCGATAGTACTTCCAGAGTTTAGATCACTGCCAATACAATTTGGATGGAAGAAAATGGATGGTCGGAGTGGGTAAGTCCAGTGGGTCACCAGATTATGCCGTGCGTTGCTGAAGAAGGTCTTTCCATTGTTGGAGTCTGCATAAAGAGACAAGAGACTAGGCCTGGCAATTATACATACGACTCGTGAAACCGACACGAACCCAACACGAATTTAGCGAATTTGAGTATAGTCTTAACAGGTTCGGGTGGTTAATGGGTTAACTCAGTAGACCCGTGAAATAAATGAACCGGGTTCGTATTTCACCCATAAACTCATTTCAACCTATTTAATACGTTAATAGTGGTACTATAAATTTATTTAAAAAAAGTTAGGTGTCTCAGCCTCTGTCTCAGCTCACACCTCTCATCTCTTACACTCATTCAAATTTAGTAATCATTTAATGTTTATTTTTTTTCTTTATTTTTTTGCTCAACTAGGATTTATTGTTATAGTAAAAAGGTCAAACATGTGTAATGTGCAATGAGTTGATGATTTTTTTTGTGGACTCGAAATACTTAAACATATTCTCTTATTTAGCGGGTGACACACGGGTTGTATCGGGTAACCCGTCTAATAAACAATTCATGTATGGGTATGATAGTTGAATTCGTTTATATAAACGAATGGAATATGGATGAAAGATTTTTTGACATAAACCCGTTCCACCCGATACGAAATCGTTCCACTCGACACGATTGCCAGACCTATGAGAGATTGAGGAGAATGACAATAATTTTTGAAAATCTAAGAGAGGTGAGATGGTCAATGGGAGAAAGAAAAAGAGTTTGAGCTGTGTGTTAGACAAAATGGGTAGCATGTGGGTGTAGTTAAATTGGGTGGGATTCACGAACGGAGCCACCCTTGGACCAGGGTGGGCACGTGCCCCCCTCAAATTTTATTTTTTTTTGACATTAGATATATTTTTTTTTAAATAAAATTTAGATACGTTTAATTGTGTCTGCCCTTAATTTTTTTTACAATAAATATATATCTTTTAAAATAAAATTTAGACATATTTAATTATGTCCACCTTAGTATTGTATTATTGTGATCGATTAAGATAGACAACTAATTAAATAATAATTAATTTTTAAATAATATTATTGAAACTAAAACATTATGATATTAAATCTAATAGTGAGTCCCTACATTTAATAACGTCTACTATCCATCCAATGGTCACAAACCA